GGCCTATAGTTCCCCAGCACAGTGGGATCAAGGCCAGTTTTCTTTAACAGGGGGTGCACCACAGCATGTTTAAAATTAGTAGGAACTACACCAGATAACAAACTACTGTTAAAAAGGGCAAGAACTAAGTGCCTAAAACAAGGGAAAACTTCTTTTAAAAAATGTGGTGGAAGGGCATCACATGGAGAACCAGAGGGCTTAATCTGGGCAACCATATCCTCTAAAAGAGACAAAGACACTGGTTCAAACTGATTAAAAACCACAGAACAGGGCTTACACACAGAGGGGTCAGAGTCTGGGCGTAAAATGGAGGCCCGTATGGAGGTAACCTTATCAATAAAAAACTGCATAAAATTATTACAAAGCTGAGCAGATGCTTCTAAACCAGCAGTGTGAGGAGAGTTAAGGAAAGAGTCAATAGTAGTGAAGAGAACACCGGGGTTGTGGCTGTGAGACAGAATTACGTTAGAGAAGTGTTCCTTTTTGGACATTTTTACAGTGTCCTGGTAATTACGCCAGCAGACTCTAAACATCTGAAGGGACACCTGCAGCTTGTCTTTTCTCCACTTGCGTTCCGCTCTGCGACATTCTTGTCTGACAGCTCGAGTCCTTTCGTTAAACCACGGTTCAGGTTTAGCTCTAGGCTGTCTTGTCATTGACAAAGAATAAATCCAACTAGACATGGGTTTTTACGATGTAAAAAACAAGTGTGCATTGCCACGTAGCATGTCATTGTAGCATGGCTTTGCCTGCAGCAGTGGACTTGCAGAATGAACTTTGACCAAGTTCAAATGTGTTTTCTATACCAGCTAGTGCCTGTCATGTCAGCAGGTGTTCAGAATTAAGGCAATTGTGTGACAATATGAAGTTTGAAGAGATTTTTTCTTAAAGTTGCATTAGCCAGGATTTGAACCGTGATCTCCCACATGAAAGTCCATGACATAGACCATTAGACCAATGGAGTTGTGGCAGAATGTGGTGGCAGGGGTTGGTTTGTATGTGTGCAGAAAGAGGCCACATTGCCAATACAATTATTGACACTGAACTGCATGATATTACAACAATAGAACAGTATTAAGACAATATTATAGTAAAACATCAAAATACAATCATATTAGTATTGTAAACACTGAACAGTTGAGATTAAACATTATTAAAGTATGGAGCGGTACCAAGTTGATTCCAGCATGGGGCAGTATTGGACAATTACAAGGCCCCATTGACTCCCATTATATGAATTATATGAATTTTGGAATAAAGTTTAAACACTAATATTTCAAAAACTACATGTGGTTCAGGCAGCAAAAGGCAAAGCAATCATTTGGCACAGGACCTTTACAGATAGAAATTACAATGGCAGCAGTAGGACAATGTATGCAGGAGCATTGGACTTGCATAATGAACTTTGACCAAGTTCAAATGTGTTTTCTATACCAGCTTGTGTCTGTCACATCAGCAGGTGTTTGTAATTAAGGTAATTGTGTGACAATAAGAAGTTTGCAGAGATTTTTGTTAAAGTAGCTGTAGCTGGATTTGAACCCTGATCTCCTGCATGAAAGGCCACAGTGCTCTTCATGAGACTATAGGAGATGTGGCAGAGGACAATCCCAGGGATTGGATTGTATGTATACAGAAAAAGTTTACTTTGCCAAATGCAATTATTGACACTTAAGTGCAATATATTACAATAGAGCAGTATTAAGACAATATTATAGTAAAACATCAAAATACAATCATATTAGTATTGTAAACACTGAACAATTGAGATGAAATATTATTAAAGTATGGAGCAGTACCAAGTTGAGTCCAGCATGGGGCAGTATTGGACCCTTACAAGGCCGCATTGACTCCTATTATATGAATTTTGGAATAAAGTTTAAACATTAATATTTCAAAAACTACAAGTTGTACAGGCACCAGAAGGCAAAGCAATGATTTGGCACAGGACCTTTACAGATAGAAATTACAATGGCAGCTGTAGGAAAAAGTATGCAGGAGGAGTAGCATGGCGACGTGGAAGAAGACAGAATAAGTTGAATAATAATAATAAAAAATAATAATAAAGAGAAACAGGAAAACAATAGTGTGAATTGCATTGGCAATGCACACTGACAAGTCTGCTGCAGATTTTACAATAAAATACCAGAAAAAATATTTTTAAATGCATAAAAGCATGTCAGTGAAGATGATGAACCAGAATCCTTTAAGTCAAAGGGCTGCACAAGTCATCACAAAAACTAATTTTGGATTTGGACTTCACACACTTTTCATTTAGCCAGTCTCTTGTCATGGTGTTGAATAAAGTAATGTATGCAATGTAAGCAAAGCTTATAATGAATGTACTACAACACACCTGCCATGCTGAAGCTCTGTTTGTTACGTCATTAACATCGGCCCCTCCCATTCTCAGGCGAGGGGGAGCAGAGCGTGGATTGAGGGAGTGAGCATCGTGAGCCAGGCAGTGAAAAGACTTGAATTGTTCACAAGTCTCAAACCACGAGTCCAAGTCAAGTCTCAAGTCTTTAGGGTCCAAGTCCAAGTCAAGTCTCAAGTCTTTAGGGTCCAAGTCCAAGTCAAGTCTCAAGTCTTTAGGGTCCAAGTCCAAGTCTATAATAGTAGGGACTTTAGTGTGACTCAAGTCTAAGTCCGAGTCACGAGTCCCCATCTCTGGGCAGCAACAGGCAGGAAAACTTCTTTCAGTTCTAATTTAATCAGACTAACACTGTTTTCAGGGTTCAACAAATCCTACTGCCTGGGGCAGGTAAATCTAATATTCGGGCAGGTGGGCGTGTCCCGATGCCTGCCCGACTGGGCAGATAAACAATTTCTTTTATTTTTTTAATAGGGCCATTTATTTGAAACATTCTGAAAATAAATAAAGAAATATAGTGTTTTAAAACATGTTTAGAGAAAATAAATCCTCAAAATTTCCCCCTTCCGATGTAGAAGTTATGTCGTGCCATCGTGTCGCAGGATCATTTCCTCCCTCCTCCTGCTGCACGTCACGCAGCGCGAAGCTTTAACAACCGAAGTTTTTTCACACCCAAGTTTTCGGAGAAAAAAAAATTCTTTTTTTATGTATTGTTACCCTCAGAGATGATAAAAAGAAGTGGACGTTCGATCAGTCATAAATCCATCTTGCTAATGTCGGCTTGTGCTCTGAGCGCAGAGCAGCAGAGGGTCAGATCAACAGGCTCACTGTATGGCAGGCCAATATTACATTTATTTGGCTTCACGCACGCTTACATTCCAGTAATCTGAAATTGTTTCATGACTAAGTTAGACATATTAGTTATTTAGGATAAAATAGTAAGATGTTTTTTTTGTACTTATTTTTTTTAATTTGGAGATTTTCCAGCTTGAGCTTGTTTGTTTGTTGGAGTTGATTTTTGAAAATAAGAGACACATTTGATAGTTTTTCTTCACTCTGCACCCTTTTAATTCAGGGTAGGATTTACCTTTTTTAATGCTGAACATAGATTGTTTTGTTTTTATAAATGAAAGAAACAAACAAATAAATCAACATCTCTTAATGTATTTTGACAGTTCAAAGTATCTCTAATTATATTCTGACCAGTATAAATAACATTAGATTTATCATTAAGTTGTAGGGAGACTCCAGTTCAAGATATCTTAAATGTATCTTTAGATATGAGATAGACTATATAAGATACAATTAATGCAAACTGCAGACTTTCATGTTCTGTAAACTGTATTTAAAACAAAACTGCTGCTGCTGATCGTTCTGTTTTTAAAAGCAGCCCTCCCAAGGCCAGTACTCTAGGGGAAACACTGGAAAGGTCTAAAAAGGTTTTGAAGATATTTTTGATAAAACAATTGACTGACTGTGAGTAACTCAGTCTGCAATGTTTGCATCTGTTTAATCAGATGTCATATATTATATACCTCTGTGTGTAAAAATGTTAATATTTTTGTAGTACAAATACAGTACATGTTTTTCTTATGTTTTATCAAATTTTGAACATTTTTGTTTCGTGCAGGTAACATTTTTCGTCACCTGCCCGACAGGGCAGATAAATAAAAAAGAATACAGTCGAACTCTGACTGTTTTAATGCTTGCCATTTAGCTAACTTGTTTCTTTCTCATAACGACAGCACAGTCAGAGGAAATGTTCATAGAAAGAAGTTTCTGTGAGACAATTTGTCAAAAAGAAGTCAACAATTTAACATACTGTAGCCCAAACTTTAACAGATGCACTTTTAGACGAGGTGTAACACTTTTATTGTCTTATTTTACCCTTTTTATCTTTGCCAAGAGACATGTTTAAAAAAAAACAAAACAAACAAAAAAACAACTTTAAACACTGACTCACTGTTCAAACAAGATAAAAACTGGACCAGCAGCTTGTTAAGCAACTAAAATGACAGTTTTATAATTGTTATCCAAACTCAAACCGCTTATTAAACAAGCAAATATAGAAAGGGGAGGAAGAGTCTAACCCTGCAACATAATGGCTCCCTGTGTGCAGAAAGGCACAGCCACATGATTTACAGAAAGCTCTGAAGGAATGAGATGAGAAACACTAATGCTATGTTGTTCTACTTGTCTGAGGAAATACAACCTGCTACTTAAATAAATAAATCCCATTTTTCTCAGAGGCGTACCTGAGAGACAGTAATTCCACACTGTTTGGCAAGTTCTTCTTTGGCTTCTTCACTGGGATAGGGGTTGGACAGGTGGGAGTAGAAATATTCATTGAGGACCTCCGTGGCCTGTTTGCTGAAGTTGCGCCTCTTACGCCTGAGAACAAACCAAACAAACAAGCACACCAGAACTGAAAAATGTAAACTAAATCCTTTATTTTCCCATAATTTATTTGTTCCTCTGCAATTTCAAGATATTAACACATATTTTTTGTTAAAAATAAACATACTTTTGAGCTAATCTGGACACATATTTTAATGTATTTTATTTGTGTAGATTTTAACGGCACTGTACTCATTTATTTACACCAGAGGTTCTTAACCTATGGGACACGGCCCACAGCGCCACCTTGAGGGCCTCAAAAGAACAACAGGTTTTAACTTTGGGCCGCAGAGGGGCATGGGACAGCATTGATTTTGAATAAGGTGCAACACATTTTCTCACCACTAGTAGCAGTAGTGCGCCACTCAGATGTTTAACAACATTTTAATATGTAGAAGAAGAACCTTAGAAACCTGCAGAGAATGGAAACTTATTTTAAATGAAAAACAGAAGCAAAAATGAAGGTAACACATCAAAAAAGGCCAAAGTTTGTCACTAATATGAAGTACAGCTTCTGTTTCTACCATGCAAAAGTTTAAAAAGGCTATATTTTCATTTATACGTTATCAAATTTATTTTTACAGGGTTTATTTGTTGAAACATTTTTAA